GGGCATGAACGGCTTGATGCAGAAGAGGGCGCGCAGCCCGAGCGGGCTGCACCAGGGAACGAGAATGCCGAGGAGGAACATCATGTTCCAAGTCCAGCACCAGGTCCGCTGCAGCAGATTCAACAGACGCCAGAAGGGCCAGCGCGTGCTGGTGGTGCGTATCATTTCCTTTTCAACCAAAAATACCGGCTGACTGGGATCCGAGCGTGGAGTGACAATCGAAGTGGCCTGCTGGCTAATGACCGTGGGGATCACATCCGATTGCCCCTGAAAATTGCGTCGTATAATCCAAGATTGTGGCGACCAGATGCGACAAGCCCATTGGAAGCTGCGTGTTGGCGTCTTCGCATTCTTCAACTCCTTGAGCAGCACTGGCTCGCGCTCCTTCATGAATGCCAGATCGCGCGACAGGAAGTAGGCGGTCTGATGCAGATTGTGCTGGCTGCACATCTTGAGGGCCTCCTCGTGCGCCGACCAGGCGCACTTGTACAGCTTGTGCTGCTCGGCATGGCGCAGCTTGGAGCGTAGCCAGGGCGCCACGCGGGACAGCACAGAGTGATCGTTGGCCAGGCACTTCTGGTGGTCCTCACGCGTTCGCTTAATATCCTGCTGCACCTTGTCGACGGCCTTGTACATGATGACTACCGACTGGGCTTGCTCCACCAACAGCTGCTGCACACCGTTGCCCAGCTCCGCGAGCTTGGCATTGGACATGATGGAGCTATAAACACGCTGCAAATACTCTTTCATGACAGCCTCATTGACCTCCTCCTCAATTTCCTTATCGGTCAGTTTCTTTGCGCGCAGCTCTGCAATCAGGCGCTCACGAAAATGCAGAAACCAGCCGCGTGTTTCCCGCTCCAGTATGCCCACCAGCACGGGCAGTGCCTTGCGCATTATGTCCCGGCAGAACAGACGCAGATCGATCTCCTGGCCCTTGGGCGTCAAGAACAGATATGGCACGGGCTGAGTCACCTCACAGCTGTTGAAATCAAACTTCTCCATGGTTGCGCGACGCAGCATTTTACGCACATAGGAGCATAGGCCATCCAGGCAGTCCTCAAACTCCGGCTGCAAGGCAATTTAAAAGATTCAGATTAAATCGTTATCGAATCAAAAGGGGATAAATTCTACTAGGTGCTATTCAAGTACTAGGGAACTCTACAAATGGTTTGCTGCTGAATTTCCATTTGTGGAAGGTTTTAGTTTACACTTACCCGACACACCAGCTCAGCTATAAGAAAGCGACAACGTTCCTCCTTAATCTTGTAGTCCAGATTGTGTGCCAACAAAGCGGGCACACCGATAAACATGTCCACCAGCCGAATTAGCGCTTCCAGCAGTGCGTGCGCTGCATGCACCACCGAAAAGAAGTGCGAGAAGATGCGAGCTCGGGCCGTGACGACCACAAAGCGCGCTGCCAAGGCCAAATCGCTTAAAAAGGAGTCTTGGGCGCGCAGCGTGCCCTTCTGCAGCAGCTGGGACAGGCGCCACTTGTGCACCTGGCCCGTGAAATGCAAGCTAGGAACGTCGAATTCACTGTGAATGCAAATGCAAAAGTCTTAGTATAATGGACGGCGACTAATGTCTAACGCAACATTAAACACACATATGTACACATATATTGAGACGAGGACGAGACACAACTTAATGACAAATTATAGGCATGCTCAAGCGTGGGCCAGATTCTTAACAGTATTGTTCCGCATCCGTGTGAATTATGCTAGAATTTAATTAATTACATTTGAAATGTCTGTGTGTGCAAGTGAAATGATTGTTGTTGGTATTTTGAATGGTGCCCAAAGTTGCAAACTCAGAAATATCATAGAAACCGGGCTTTAGTTGAAACCTTGGTCTCACATTTTTTTTAACATTCTATAAAACAATTTAATATTTAATGTACTATTTCATATACAAAAGGGGAGCTAAATTTGATTGCTGATCAAAATTTGCTCCTACCAAATATGGTTAAATATATGGCCAACTATTCATTATTCATAAATAACAATATTTCCCAATTCAAAACGGATTTGCAGCCTTGGCATTGCCCAACTAAATAATAGTTTAAGACAACAAGGAATTAAACCCCATTTAATACAGCAAATTAAGTGTAAAGGGCCGTGATAAAGTGTTAAATGAATGAGTAAAATAAGGATAAGGATTGCTAATGAAATCATATTATTTAAACTTTTAAAAAGCCAACTCAAATTGTTTTTAAGAAACGCTTGCGCCTAAACACACAAGTTATGTTTCGAAATACCTATATAAAAAAAACTATGATACTTTGAACACCAGAGGCAACATTTTCATAGGAACTGCCAAAACGTTTTTCTGTTTGTTTTCGTGTTGGCATTCGTTTTTGAATTTTCGATTCGATTCGACGGCATGCATAAATTTGGCGTAGCGTAAATTATGAATGTGTACTTAAGAACACAGAAAGGAAAATTACCACGCATAATTTATGTATGTTAGGATAAAGAAAAATAATGAAAACTTTATATGTATGCATGTAGTATATATGTACAATCGGTATAAAATAAGGAACACTGACTAAACAATTTGATATGCAATGGCAAACACGCAAAACATTTATTTTGATTTTATTTAGTTCGTTGCTTATTGTTTATTTACCCATTTTTACGTATTGTTTCCAATTGTTCCAAAGTTAATTTCTTCGGCTTTCCATATTTATCCTTTTGCAAGCTTTACAGGAATATTTCACATACAAACATTTTGTTTACGTTAATTGTAACTGTATGCAGTTACGTACACATATATTTGCGCATTTTGTCGTAATGTTAATGTTGTAACGTTGAATAAAATATATTTCAAAAAAATGTTGCATGCAAATAACGTTAAACAAATCTAAACAAAAAACAACAATTTACTCTGTTACTCCCCCAAGACTGTGGAACATGCTTTTATTTTGATTGTTGCTTTTGCTTTTTTTTAACAGCTGCGTGAGTGTGCGCAAAGTGACAAATGATTTTTGCTGTTGTTTGGCGAAGCGTTTGCACTGTGGTGCAACGGTGCTGCTAAGCTTAGCAGCGGCATGTTAATGTTAGCTACACACATATGTACATATGTAAGCACAACGGCTTGCAGTCGGCAGTGCTAAGTTCGTTTATTTGAATGTAATCGATTCGTGGCTTAGTGTTTATCTTCATCGAAAAGCACGCGCCGACAGCCGCGCTCGTGCGCATGCTGCTTTTTAAAACTGTGGATATTTTCTGCTCGCCTGCATCATCATTATCATTAACTTCCTTGCCAGACAGCAGACAGCAGCTTTCGAATTTTTGTGTGCGCATGCATGCATACGACCCCAGACTCACCCAGTTTCGCGCAAACTTTTCAATTGTGCATTTGTTAGGCGACGCGGCTCGCCGCTGCCATCGGAGGCAACCGCATCCAACTCATCAAAGGGCGGCGCTATAAATAGGTCACTCTGATTAATAGGACGCTTTTTGCGACCGCTGACACTATTTGTCGCATTACTGGCCGTTACATTAAGCGTGCTAGTCGCCAGTGGCTGGGGCAGAACTGTAAAAGTCCAAAACTCAATCAACACTTATTTCACCACACTAGGCTGTGCACTTACCAATGGGAAAACTCTTCCAGTGATATAGAAACTGTTCGGCCACGCACTTAATCTGCTGAACCAGCTGTTCCACCTCGGGCGGTGCGCCTACCAGATTGATGTTGAATTCGACGGGCTCCCGCTCCGGACCCGCCAGCGTTTGGGGGCGCAGCAACTGATGGTTGCCCGAAGCGCTGCCGCTTGCAACTGTCGGTTGCAATGACATGATGCTTGTGTGTTCCCCCCCAGCAGCTGTTTACTCCATCATTGTGAACAGCCTGGTGCGTTGTGTGTTTTCAATATTAAAATCAAAAGCTGCAAATATTTATGGAATCTGTTAATCCATGCGCCAAACACATATGCCAATTGAAATCGTCGAAATGCGCGCCTGTATTAATATTAATGATCCAATTGAAAACACACAAACACGTCTGTTAGTGTATGTGTGCATGCGCGTGTAGATCGCTCACAAATGAATTTTAGAAGAAATTCCAGCAAGGCGACGAACACAATGTAAACAATTAGCTGTAGCGTGTGAGCACAGACAGTTTTCTGCGTAGGCGAATTAAGGAACTAAGTTAACACTTTAATTACCAACTAACATGACGAAGAGACACAGGTGAATGCGAACAGCCTTCCAAAACCCGACGACACTCAGCCCGCAAGTCACTTTAACTCAATTTCGCGCTTCGTTAACTCTGGCGAGACGGATTCGGACAGAGTTTGCTGTCTGCTGGACTTTACAAAAATATACATATATATGTATATGTATGTATATACATGTACATATGCCTGCCAATTGTGCGTTCCACGCCCAACACACAGACTAACCACCTCACCACCCCCACAACACACAAACAACACTTGTGCTTCTTATTGCTTTTAACTGCGGCACACGCACACAAGTCATTTCATATTGTCGTCGGGTTTGAGTTACAGCTGCCTTTTACCTTGTTTTATATATCAAGTTGCTATTAGCCGAGCATGTGCGTTTGTATGTAAGTAAACATGTACTAAATCCAGAGCGAGAAATTGTACTACTACTACTATTCGGGTTACATTTATCGATGATTAATCGTTATCAACAGTTTGAGAGTCAATGACAAGCGGCGACAGACAAACCGAAATACACAAGAACTTCATGGTATTCGCACTGTCTGCGGAACACGTTTTGTAACTAGCAGCAGCCATGGTTAGATTGTTTTGTGCAACCTGTAACTATGATTGAAACTTACACTTGCTTTATTTCACAAAAAACATTTTCATTTTGCACTGACTTTACTACGCATTTTCTTAAAACCTTATTACCATTTCGAGAGGTATACGCAAAACTATCGATAAATATAGCAGTGTGACTGAATCGAAGTTTGCATAAAATACTCTTTTCTAGGTCTTCTTAAGTACATAGATCCAGCTGACGAACAGATGTTTTTAGAAATAAAATTACAAATTGTTCAGCACTATGCCAATAAGTTGCGCGACGATTCCAAAATAGAACACAAGCACTCCTGATGTTGCCAAAACTAATAAGAAAATGTATGGCAATAAACTGTAATGCTAGCGGCTTGCAGGATTTCACAAAGTTATTTAAATTTCCAACGGATCCCGAATTAAACCAAAAGTGGAAAGAAAATCTAGGACTTACGAACGCCCGCTTCCTCTCGTCATGCCGATCATTAATATGCCGACGCCACTTCACGCCAGAATGCCACGCGAAGAAAAAGTTACATTCCTGGGCCGTGCCAACACTCCATTTGGGTACCGGTGGGTACAGCAATCAGCTGAGAGCTGATAGGCAGAACTTACCTTCTCCGTTTTATAGGTAAAACTGAGGGTATACATCAACCTTTTAAACCCAAAATACTTTGGAAGTGGCGGAAGTGTTGTGTCAGAAACTGTAAGGTGAAGCATCCAGAAACATTACACACATTTCCAAAGAAACCGGAGCTACGCGCCAAATGGTTGCAAATATGCGGATTAAAAGATGTGAGGAAAGTGTACGATATATGCCGGAGGCACTTTCGTCCAAGTTTTTTACTTAGACGCAAACTCGTAAAGAACGCATATCCCGAATTGAATTTGGGGCTAGAAGATTTTGATCCACTGCAGGCGTCACAAGACTCGGAGAACATTGAAGTTGAAGAGGATGAGATTAATGAGAACATAGATAATGACGAAGACGAACAAATAATTGACACGAATAGCAGCGAGACAGATGACGCAGAAGAGAACGAGGATGATGTCAGAGAAACTCAGATACGTGACACAAGCTGCGACAGGTGTGCAACGCGGGAGAATCGGTGCCGCGAGATGCAGGAAGAAATTGACGCCATGCGCAAAAAGATAACTCAACTGGAGGAAATGCTTCACGTAAATACGCAAGATGACGAAGAGGAGTACATATGGCTGCTGCTCAAATAAATCGAAACCCAAAAACCTTTGATTAATACCATTTTATTTTTCTTACTGCATCTGAAGCTCAAGCTGCAATAGACGCTGGTTAGTGGGACAATACGGCATTGTAGCGGACATGTTGGCAATGGCCTTGGCGCGTTCCCGCAGCTCATTTGGCCGCTGCTGCTGTATTGAGCTGTTTGATGTTGTTTTTGGCTTCAACTGGTTGTATTCTGTGAGAGTCAGGTCCATTGCGGCCACCATAACATCGGGTATTACCTTGATGACATCACCACTCAACTGTCTCACGTTTGCCAGGCAGGTGGCCACGTCCTCCGTGCTGTTGGGTATGATGTTGGGTATGCGCTGAAGCTGCTGTAGCGCCGCCTTAGACTTGCCTTCGTGATAATTATCAAAGAACGTGAGCAAATCCCGTAATAATGTAAAGCTGACATAGATCTTAGGCTCTATATCCGTGGAGCGGGCAGTCAAGCGTGCGCTGAACCGCGGTGCTTCCAGGCTAAGGCGCGCTCGCAATGTTCCCTCTACTGGAGGCTCTTGCACCACCTGGGCCAATAATATGGAAATATACTTCAGTGCCAGATTAAGGTTGCCAGCAATTTCATAGAGCCGCACAGCCATCTCAAAGTTGCCGCGCTCGACCAGTTCATCGGCGACCAGGCCAGCCATGGTATGTGTGTCAAAGTCTGCGCAGCTGAACTGCCCAAAGAGTCCTCTGTGGAGGAAATTAAAGAAGTGAAAGCATGAAATACACTTATACACAAGTGTAACTGCGCTCTAGCTATCCGAAATGATTAGCTATATGTACATACCCCAATAATTCCTCACCGTTGACACTTCCCTTCTGTCGATGTCCAAATATCAAATCAAATATGCTGGTGTCCAGCACGCCGCTGTCTACGACCAAACTACAAACGCACGTTAGAAACATGTTCCGTCCCTTGGGATCGTGCAGGTTGCGCAGTGTGTAATAGTAGTGCAGTGCTTCGGCTGTGTCCATCGCCTCAAAGCGATGCACATAGAGTCGAATGAGGCGCGCCAGATTGAGACGACGGAGCGGCGTTGGATCCGATATGTCAATTGTGAGCAGTGGTTGCGACACGCTTCGCACGCCGCCCAGCATACTCAGCTCATGTAGACCTATGGCCATGTGGACTGCGTGCACGCGATTGGCATCCGAACGAGCCAGGAACTCAATAGCTGCCTCAAATTGACCAGTGAGTGCCAGCGCTTGGAAGTAAAGATGCGGCTGCTGACTAGCATTAAAATACTTCTCGCCATAGGTGTCTATGATCAAGCTCTGCAGTTGGCCATAGCCAGTTGAATCGCCGGGATGCAGCATGGCCAATCTGATCCAAATAAAGTCGTCGATTGTTTTGGCCACTTCCCCGTGAACCTCGTTGGCGTCGCAGCCGAGCAGAATGCAGTAAACAGCCTTCTTATAGGCATCAGTTGAATTGCGTATTTTGTTCGCATACTGTAGTTTCAGTTGGCTTTCTATCTTGGAGTTGACCACGCCTCCATTTCGATCTGCAATAAGCTGAGCAAATTCCTCATAGCTTGGGCCAGCTTCACGTAAGAACTCTACAGCCGTTTCAACAGCACCGCATCGTAGACTGTAATAGATAAGCGGCCAAAGTGGTTTGCCGCCAGCTGTGTCCACCAGACCAATCGCTTGTTGTCCGCTAAAGCAGCGACTCACATAGGCGCGCACCAATTGATAGCTATCGGCATCGCTGGCTACGGTCACCAGTGAATTTATGTAGACTCTGTAGCGTTGCTCCAGATACAATTTGGCATTCAATACGAACTCTGGCCGCTGCTGGCGACTCTTGATAGGATCTCCCTGATGGACTTCGCTCACTTGAGTCACACAGGAAAGAAGCGTCCACATGTCCGTGAGGCGAGCATCTCCAAAAGTGTTGGTCAACTGTGCGTATTTCTGTACTAGATTTGGACGAGAACCACCCTTGAGCACGAGGGCATTGTACTGGCACAGCTCCTGGGCGTATAGTAAGCCCATCTTATCAAGACAGGAGAGCGGGTGGCATTCTGGATTCAATATTGTCTGGTCGGGCAGCCGTTGCAAGTCAATGAAGTTCTGCGATGGTCCAATCAAAGCATCCAGCAAGCGTGTTTTTTCTTCGTTCCAGCTGCTGATTAAATTTGCCCATTTTTGCTTGCTAACCGAGTCACTGATCTGTATATTATATCATAATAAACATGAATGTAAGCCTCTATTATGCCAAATTGATTACATACATTTTTATTGGTATCCTCGATGACAGACAATATGGCATTTTCACGTTCATTTTTGAGAAACGTGCACACATCTGTGTCCGCGCCAGCCACATCCAGGGGCTCAAAAGTTTTACCCGCGCTGAGCGTCTCGAGCTTCTGGTTCAGCTTCGGCAGATCGATGCCCTTTGAACCAAGCAATATTTGCCTATGAATAAGAACATAGTTGACATTCGCGTGCGCGTCTGCAGCATGGAGTTAACACTTACGCTTGTATTTCCTTGGTGCCGGTCTGGGTGACACGTCTGTGTAACTCCTCGGTGGCTTGCAGCACCTGTTGAAGCGTACGTTCCACGCCAGGTAGTTCGCATTCATCTTTTTCTTTAGTAAGGCTCTGTGCACGTTGTAGTAGAGTATTTAGATCCATTTTATAAATCTCTCAGCGCCAAAAAAAAACGCGGACTAACGTAAACAATGGTCAGTGCTGTGAAACTGATTGTAAAGTATCTTCACAATACACAACACTGAATTAGTTGGCGCGCAATTTAAAATATGAACACTACTTAAAGAAAAGTACTAAAATAATTATTTGCCATAGCCTTCAATATAATTCCAGAGAGTTCAGTAACATTCCTTATATTTTTATTATCAGATGCTAATATAGAATGATTTTACATTCATTCCGCTTAACATGTGATTGATGAGGTCGAGTTGTTTATCCATTGTCTTTTCAACGCTTGTTAAATTACTAAAAATAATAAAAAGTATGCAACCTATTAGTCGCCTAATTATTTATTACCGCCTTTTTGTGAAATCTACAAAAAAGCTGCGGTCACTAATATTTCATTGAATATTTAGATGCGCAGTTTCCCCCTTAGATTCATCACAAGATTATATTTCTCTTACTCGGCTTGAGTTAAAAGTGGAAAAATATCTCATCCAGCATTTGGCTAATCCAACTGGTCAACCAGTGTTTAATGAATTGCACTAAAACATACCTGAGTTTTCATGTCTTATATAATAGTTAAACCAAAATTACTTACTCTTCTTGTTTTTATGAATCGTATTTAAAAACACTCTTTAAATTTGTTGACAATAGGTATACTGCTAAGATATTGGTAAACTCAATAAATCCCAGTTATTAAAAACTCAATAAATGCCTGTTATTAAAAAAAAAACACATCCATTTATTACTAGTAAAAATTATATTTAAATTGAAACTAAGGATAATATAAGTTGCATATTTTATTTTGCATATGAACTTTGTAACTGAATTGTTATTGTGAAAAAGTGTACTAACTTAAACCTGCTTTGTTGCTAAACAGTCACCATGAACGCTGCTAGGCAACATTAGGGATCCCTAAATATTTGATGATTAGATTATTGTTTTCTTTTTCTTTTGCTGTTATTTCTTATAGCTATTAGTTTGTAAATTTTTTCCTTCTTGCGGACCAAGGTGTTTTTATAACAATAGATATTGAAACAATTTCGTATTGCCATTGTACGAGCCATATCTTAAAAATGGTTAATGCTGGCTGCTGGCTGCCGGCTGCCAAGTACTTATGATACAATACAGCTGCTCTTCTCGGGGGGATTACCATTCTCGTTTTCGATTAGCATAAGTAACTGATGAAATATATCACCGACAGACTGGAAAATACAAAGTTCAATATGATTATCGAATTAATCTTATCACCTGTGAATGTATTCACCTCATTTTGTTTGGCGGATGTTTCGAGAAATGCTGCCCGCCAGCATTCAGCCAGTTTTTTGCCCTCATCCGTGGAAACTGTGCGTTCCTGATGCAAATCCGTCTTATTCCCTACTAAGACTACAGGTACACTAAAAACGTATATAATATTGCATGTATTTTAATATCTGGTTTAAATTTTGTGTACTTTTCACATTTCTTACTATTTCTTGCCCATCACATCTAACAGTTTTTCGTATATAATTTTAATGACTTCAAAGGATTTTTGACTGGTTATGGAATAGACCAAAACGTATCCATGAAAGTCCATGCTGTATTGCACCGGAAATATGCTATATTCATCCTGTCCCGCCGTATCGACCAGCTTAACGCCATAATCCTGCGAGTTGACGCGTGTTACCTTGGTGAATGCTGTAATTTAATGAAAGTCGACCCGTACACACATTAATCGTTTATCAAACTGCGTTCTTTGTGCACGCCGTAGCCACATGAACATGAACGTAGAATGCCATCAGCATCCTTCACAAGTGTGGCTTTCTATGACTAATACCATTTGAAATGTGAACGCTCATAACGTTTATAAAAAACAGCTGCTATTTGTATACGCGTATGACTTACTATTTTCGATTGTTGGATCATAAGAGTCCACGAATTGGCCTTCAACAAACTGTATACTGAGCGAAGATTTGCCTGTTAATGCAGGTGAAACGCAATTATTATATATTATATATGTATGTAGGTTTTTTTTAAATTGTTTGCAATGTGTTGTGTCTGTTGTCAAAATACAACGCAATTACACTACAAGCAACAACGCACACGCACCCACAAGCCATACAACAACAACAACAACAGCAGCAGCAGCGCAGTGCGATTAGTCAGACTGGTGCTGGAGCTGAACTGGAGTCCAATAGACTTACCGACTGAGCGGTAGCCCATCATGGCTATATTGCGTTCCTTTGGTGGCATTATGTAGCCCAATTAATTATTTCTACTTTGTAAAATTGTTTTTGCCCTTTAGAGGGTGTATATTTGTGTGTCCGTGCGTCTGTGTGCGCCTTTTATTCGAATTATTCGGGCTATTTGCTTGCTCTAGATACTTGTTGCTATCACAGTTGTAAGCTTGCTGCAGCGTAGTTTCAATTTTTTATTGTTTAATTCAATTATGTATTATTTCACAGAAAACATTCTGACTTCACACTAACTACGCGTTTTTCTTAACTGTGGGCACCCTAAAACTGTAACATTTGCTGCACTGTTATTAACAGCGCGTACCATTCGTTCCTAAAAAAAAACTGTAATTTTCAATTTTCCCGTTTACAAGTCTATTAATTAAGGGCTTAGCTGGGTGAGATATATTCTGAGTAATGTGTAAAATATGTTGACTTCGTAACGTAATTTGTTGAGTATGAAACGAACCAGTCTTTGTATAAGACCCTCGAAATATCAATATTTAATAAACATGGATTGGTACATTTTAAAAAGTACTAAAAATCCTTGTTCATCTTTGTAATCGAAATTTGCCGAACTCACATCTCTAATGGTCGCCAAAAACATCTGTTTTCTGAAGCATTACTGATTGAACATTTTTTATTTAGTTTTGAATTTTTATTGTTGACCTCTCAACAATAGCGTACGCCTTTGAAATGGGCACAAAACGTCGCAATATCGAAGATGAGCTCTCACGCTTCGAAGCGGAGATCTCTAAGCCGCCAGCGCGAAACCTTTTTGTACCAAATCAAGTACGCCCGATCATCGCGGCGAATACGTATAACAACGTGCAGCAGAAATTGCAGCAGCATCAGCCTCGCATGGCGGTGCCACCACCTCCAATACCACCACCGCCAACATTTATGTCTACATTCGTACCGACCGGCAACGGCTCATCTACTTCGCCATCCAAACCTATGTCCGCCACCCCGGTTGTGCTAAGCAGTGCGCCGAAGCTCTATCAGTGTCGTCAGTCGGTGCATGTGCCGACGGTGGCCACGGCTCCAGCAATTGACATTAACATCAATACCATACAGTTTGATGTTACGCAGAAACTCAAAAAGCTTAAGGCTGAAAAATCGGGACCCAATCCGATTGCAGAAGAAGCTATCAAAGCAGCGCGCGCTTCATCGGCGCTGCAATCATTTCAGACCACAGAGCGCAAGAAGAAGGATCGGAAGACTGTGCGTATTGCCGGTGGCACTGTGTGGGAAGATGCCTCATTGGCGGATTGGCCGGATGATGATTTTCGTATCTTTTGTGGCGATCTCGGAAATGATGTCAACGACGAAGTGCTGACGCGCACCTTCAACAAGTTCCCATCATTCCAGAGGGCACGCGTTATTCGCGACAAACGAACCGGCAAAAGCAAAGGATTCGGCTTTGTCAGCTTCCGCGAACCGGCTGACTTCATACGTGCCATGAAGGAAATGGACGGACGCTACGTGGGCAGTCGGCCAATTAAGCTGCGCAAGAGCACCTGGCGACAGCGCAGTCTGGATGTAGTCAAGAAAAAGGAACGCGAGAAGCAAGTGCTCCTTCAGGCTTTTAACTCCATGAGTTAAAAACACTGCCCGCACTAAGTCGACACAACAAACAATTTTAGGCTAGTTTTGGTCGCATTTTGATGTAACAAATTTGTATTTCGAATGTCTGGATGTGGCTGCTGCAGAATAAGCGTAAATTAAAACAAATGTTAAAATACATTTTTTAGCAAAAGCAAAAACTAATGTAATTATTTATCGGCGACTTATAACAATATTGAACTAGACGTGCGCTATTAACTGTAAGCAATGTACATAACTTAAATAATTGGACATAATTGTTAGAAATCTATTAATGATGAATATTTTATACTTATAGATACACATACTCAAGCATGTACGTATGTGTTAACTTAGCTTCATTGTTTGCTCCCACAAAATTTGACATTTAATTATTGACTGCTTCACTCCTGATACTTATTCTAGCAATTGTTGCTTTAGTGTACCGACTACACTATGATACGAGTACTAGGTACTACATCTAACCTGAACAAAAATACGGCACAGCTGTGCATTAAAGCCGACATTAATTGGTATGGTTTACCTTTAGGAATACAGCTTCGACTTCGTAAGTCATTAAGTAACTAATTGGAAACCGCATGCACTGTTGTTGACCTTAGCAATACTTGTTTGATGTTGGCTTCTTAGGGTCTTCTTCAGCACCATTTGCTTGTCTGCTTACCAAGCAATGGCCTACACATTTCATCACCAGCATTTTCCATTGAACCTTTCTCCAAGCGCTTGTGTCTGGGCCAGCGAGCAAATGGTCTGCCCGCGTCGGTCGAGAATATTGAGGGATAATATTGTCGATAGCTAATGTATCCGGTGGCCAGACCGATTAATGCGCCAACTACCACATCTTGCCAATGATGATGATAGTCACAGGTGCGACTGACGGCTACCAAGGTGGCCACAATAAGAGGCATAATGGCAATAAATAGACGCCAAGTGTGGCCCCGACCTCGTGCATCGAAAGCATGCAGCTTGGCACCCACATAATAGGTAACAAATCCAAAGCTGGCAAAGGCAACTGAAAAATATGCAGCGGAAATGCTTGTCAGAGATCTGTAAGCTTCTAGATTGAATTTGGTCTACTTACAGGACGAATGGCCACTAGGAAAGCTTTTGCGGCCCTCGTTTATCACACTAGGGATGCCCGTGCAATTAAAATCGAGTAATGAGCTGCCAATTGCGTTGGCGGTTTCGTTTAGCACCATGACACCATCAGGAAAGCAACGATAAAAGAAGTCAGGACGTGGTCGTCCCACGCTAATCTTTAACAGACTCGTGGGTACGGCATTCGAGCACACCGCCAATGTCCACGCCCAGCTGGCTGCCTGAAAATCTCTGCGATCCTTGGTGAATGCGTAGAATATTAATGTAAGTACCAGGGGCACGGCTAGTACCGAAAATAACAGATCGCCGCCCTTAACGATATCTGGTTTGGGTGGATTTTTGTACAGCCACAGCTCCTCGGAGTGGATTTGTCGCTTAAATGCGGACATTGTTTCCAGTTTACTAAAAGGTAAGATTTATTGATACTTAATCATGACTCATTCTGTATGGCAATGAGATAAGCAGCATTTCTTACAAAAAAATCAGCGTAATCACAATGCGTATGACAATGTCAACCACGTCGCTATATTTCTTTCTTCTGGCGGGCACTAAGGGATCCTGATCCGGTTCCTCTTCTGGCAGGAGCTCGTCGTTTGTTTTCAGCTCATTCCGCCACATTTCGGTCTCGTCAACGACGTCCAAATCTTCAATGGAACTTTTGCCAAGACTACTGCGATGCGGCATTGTTTTGCTAGTCGTTGACATTTCGGCCACTTGGGTATAGTCCGTTGCCCGAGTGTGTTCTGTGTTTGGTTTCCTTGTTTTCTGAATAATTGATAAGGGCTAACAATTAGCAAAGTCATTAGACTATTAGACGGAGCATATTGGGTAAATACATATATAACTATTGCTGCGATAAGATAAATAGGCACATGTACGATGCAAACAAATATGAATGTATGTATGTTCATGTATGGGTTCATCACAACTCGTTACATGATTCTGATGATTTGCGGAATGTGTACGTTATATAAATACAAGTACATGCATATTTGCAATAATATTTATTCATAGTGTTAACTATGTCATTCGTATTTATAGGTAAACACAAGCAAACCTAGGCTAAATATCAATAAATTTGTGAGACCTGTGCTTCATCCGACCAAGACGAAGTGTCGTCAACGTCGTCTTGTTTGTTGTTGCTTAGTTGCTTTCCGCATTTTCGACTACGTAATTCCAAGTCTTCACTATGGCTTTGAAGCATTATCAAACGCTCCTCAAATATAACTTCAACTTTGGAACTGTTTACAACGTTAACAGCTTAGTAATTTTAATTTGCGCTCGAGTTTTAGTATTGCGAATGTGTTGATTTTCGGGGAAGTCAACTGGTACAAGAAGTATTATTATTTAAACTAACTGCCAGTCGCTAATTGCACCGGGCTTTTATAAACTTTCTCTAATCCGCATTTGTGACAGATATATACCAGAAATCCTAACATCGCGCACCGACATTTCTATACTCTCTCCAAACAATAAAAGAATTTTTATATGGCTTCGTTTTTCAATATCGAAATTATATAATTAATTAAAATAAATCATATGTTAATTTGTAATTTAATTTTCTTTGTGAAAATGACGATAGTTATAGAAAATGCAAACACCCTCTCTGTAGAGTAAATTAGCATCTGTAGATATAAAGATGGGCTAACAGTAGTGTTGGGCATTACAGTTCAGCTTCAAGTTCCTTTAGTTCCATCTGTTGCACCAGCTTAGTGGTTCACTTTCTATGGTGTCATGAGTATTTTTGAAGCTAAGTTAATGAATTTCATATAAAAAATAACGTTATTTTTGACGTACAGTAATTGTAGCTAAAATTTATAATGTTTTATTAATGAATAGATCAATTATACAAATGTACTGAGCCAATTTAAAAACAGTGGCGTAATTTTCAATTATACAATTTACGTACTAAAACCCGAAGAAATAATGTTTTAATATTGTTCACTTTTGAACTGCACATCCCTAATATAAAAAATGTTTACTTCTTCTTAACATATCACTGTCAAGTAACATAAATGAAAAGCCGCGTTGCCAACCATGTAAAAGGTGTACAAGAACAGGTCTGTTTCCGATCATATGATTGCGACTGATACCGTTTTTATTTTTCATAACAAAAGTATTAAAATTGGTGCAATTATAGATACTTTAACTTGAAAATGTCTGCCAAAAACTGTGAAAATGATAGGATTGCTGCTGGACAATTGCTTGACACCCTCTATCTGGATATGTTTCATCTAATCGAAGCTCACACCCAATGCCGCACAGACATCGAACGCACGTACTCCAGTGGCGTCATTCTCCTAGCACGAACGAAATTCCAACAGGGAGGCCAATCAATATCCACCGCTCAGATACCAACCGAAAATAGTGCAGAGTTTAAAGCCTTATGCAGGGTGATAAATGCGCCAGAAGAAGACAGAGTCGCCGACATTACTATTCAGCGCAGTGCAGTGGACAAGGAAGACGGCTATGTGGAGCCTTTGCATTGGTTTAGCGTATTGCCCCCAATGAGTTTACGAAACGCGGTGGAAAGGTTCAAGAAAACTATTGAATTGGTAGCGGAGAGTACAAATCTGCAACGGCAACTTAGCACCGTATTAAATGGTATTAACAGGCTGCGGCAAACTGTTGCACTATATTAGAAGTGAATTCATCGTATATATTACAAATGTATGAATAAGAATAAAGTTGGAAATTGTTAAGACAAAATAAATGATTTGCTATATAGTGTGGTTGTTGTTTTTTTCGGAGAGCGAATAAATCGATATGAATCTTTAACAATCGATAACATAATTAATTTAGAACGATTGCAATAATGCGCAAGTGGATAGTCTCGTCAGCTGTTTGCAACTTTATTTCACACTTTGTATTCTCAGTAAGTGGACAGTCTCGTTGCTCATCATTTTCGTATCTTGTTAATGAATCGATATATATATAGATATAAAGTTTACAGAAAGCAATCAATAATTGCTAAAAAGCAAATGTGCAACAAAAAATAAATTGAACCAATTACAGATTAAATTATAGAACATGCAAAATATGCATAAAAGAGGCGTACCGCCCAGCAGATAACAGTGTTCACGTTCGCCCGAAAAGCCACAGACGCGCGCCTTTGTTGCTCTGTCCGCGATTGGTAGCTTCGGGCGTTTTTGAGATTCCCGTTTTGAGATTTGTCGCGCGTGGCTACCCCACCCAAAGCTACACACACAGGCACGCACACACGTCCTACTGCCGCTTAAGTGCAGCCATGAACAACAACGCTCAGCCGAAAGGGGCAACGAAAGCTGCAGAAGCGCCCTTGCTACAGTTAGAGGATGAGATGGATCTCATTGGTGACTTTGTCAAGCAGCAAGCACCAACAACAGCGAGCAGTAATCAGCTGGCACCTCTCCTAAACGGCTGCGATACAGATGGGGTCAGTCAGTTGATTACCCAAGTCGAGGTAAGTTCCCCCGAAGCGTCCCAAATCGAGTGAAAAACAAAAAAATAAAATTTTTCTTCTCTGTGCACAGATAAATACAATCGGCGTGCAGAGCAAGACTACGAGCGGCAAGCGAAGGCAAAAACGAAAGCCAAAAAGAGATCGCGATCAAGTTCTATTATCAGTAGAAGATGCTGATGCTGATAGTGATGATTCCGTCGCTTATGGTACTGATGATGTGGCGCCCATTGATGGTGCTGGCGGCGACGATGGTGAAAACGTTGATGTATTTGCTGTTGGCAAGAAGCAACCGCAAAAAAACCAACTGCTAATGCTGCACGACATCGGCGACGACGCCGATGCCGATGGCGACGACGAAGAAGAAGTTTTGCTGCACAATAATCTACCCGCCCTCCGCAATGGCAATGGCAAATGCAAACACTCCGAGGAGAGCAGCGAGAGCGTTAGTGGCAGATCAAGCGCAACGACACCGCAGCTAGCCCCGCAGCTTGTGATTAGTCACATTGCAACACCAGCGCGACGCGCACCAACTACAACGTCATCGTTAGCAACATCCCCGCTGAAATCAACGACACGCCTGCCACACGAGGAGGCCGACGATATTTGCCTGGTGCCAGAAATCGACTTCGAGGGCATGTCCACGGACGCAGGCAGCGATAATCGCGAATCACAGCCGCTGCTTGGTGGTGGCGGCGGCGGCGGCGGCGGCAGCCATGCCAGTCGCATTAGCGATCTACTTGGCGCTCTGGGACGCGGACATGATCACGTTGACCTCGTGTCAAACACATTTGGCGGTGAGTGCTCTGTGCTGTGCAAACTGCAAACGAAGTCTTACAAGCTTTTGTGGGGCTTCTTACCTAGTCTGCGTGTATCTCTTGCTCTCGTTCTCTCTGTCTGTTTGTGTGTGTGCGATTACAATGCATGGCTGTCGTGTACTTTAATTCTGTTATTCTACTTCTAAAGACATTCTATTGTGCTGCTTATCACACATTCTAGAGCCAACTGCCTGCAAACCTTATCATAATCCGAAAATGCAGGCGCGCATATGCAAATGTCGTACAGCAATATTTATACTATAACAATAGGTTGAGTCAAAGCTGTATTCAGAGATAAAACATTCAAGACTTTTAATGTTGACTCGACATTGAATTGCAAAGCTAAACAAATATACCTATACTATGATTAACTTGGAGATACCCTGTTCACTATCCAAAAGTACAGAACATTACCAGGCATTTCAATGCAGTATAAATAGAACACTTGAATTCCATTTAGTTTAAAAATACATATTATTTTGTTTGTTTACACATTTGTACTCGCCTGAACACTTAAAAGACACGTGTTGCTTCCCAACCCTCTTCACTTCCCCCTTAGTATCCAATCGTTAAAAAATATAGCATGCAGGTTTAATACTAAATTTGTGTGCATTATTGGACTTGGCTAGTTCGACTCATCAGTTGATGTGAGTCATAAATTGTTTATAATTATATGCCTTTGTAAAAACCCTGCTATGGGCAAAGTTTGAGTAACTTCTCGATACCATTATTTAATAAAAAAAATTAAAGCAAGCAATTAAAAAAATAGGGTACACATCAGTATTGCGCATATTATGTGCGAGTATTGCATCAGATGTGTAAGAAACATTACATTGACAATGCAACTATAAATTGTTATATTATATATCGATGTATATGTATATAAAGGCCTAAAGGAACAGCTGTGGTCTTTCGGGTGCTTAGGAATTAATACAATATTTATGGCAGCTAGGAGATTCAGTAAACGGATCTTAACCAAAACGTTGTCAACAAAAGAGCGAGGTAATTTAAGAATCATTGCAGCTGTTATTGTTGTTATGCCAGCTATATTATATAGGCGACCGATTTTTAAACATTTCATTAGCACCCTTGACGCCTTAGTTCGTCGAACTGATCAAGAGAATAAGCATGTACGGATTTACTTAGTTGGGTAGGAAAATGTCTTTATCCATGCGAGACACTCAACTCCCTACGGGTCCATACAAGTAGCTTGTTGGGGGCAAAAGTTAAGTGGTCGCCCGACAATGCAAACAACTGTTTTTGAAAGCCATTGGGTTTCCTTTCATAATTTAAACTAAATTCCTTTCGTTTACAAAGTAAATTGTTTGTTGTTGTATGTCGTGAATAACATAACGTTATTTCTTTGTTACAATACGCGATTCGTGCCAAATTCAAAGTATTGCAAATTTAGTGCATGTAAAAATGGACGTTGTCATAAAAACGCTCGTCGACCAATGGACATAGTCAATATCAAAAGCGTACCACAAAAAATGATCAGCAATGGCGGCACACGGAATTGTGGCAGTTCATTCAGAGGCAGTTCATCCAGAGGCCGCCGACGATCGGTCTGCACATGCCGGTCCAGCACCGGCCAAAGGGAACGCTTCAGTTAGCAGGCAAGAGTCGGAGGAATCGATATATGAGCAATACGTGTGTCATTGCTGTAAAAATAAATGTGACGCTGTAGAAAAGGACTACCTGTCAGATGAAGGGGATGAACCGCCCATTCTGTACATTGCTCCCTCCGGGATGCGGGACTCCGAAGACTCGGACACCTTTAAAATAGCACAGCCAAAATGTCAATGTGCCAATTGCCCGCTGAAGAACATGTGTAAGTGCCGGCACCACCGAAGTGGGACAGACCCTATCGAAATGCTTTAGATATGCAAATTTCTAGATATACTTTTTATGCTCCCATTATTTAATTCGACGCCAACTTGAAGTAAGTTTGCTTGGCCAGCGACACACATTTAATGACAATGTCGCGTTCGTTCAGCCATAGTCGCGAGCATTTTATACAGCACGTGTTCACCATTTTCCAGGACCACTGCGACTTCAATGATAATTTCGACTTTATAGGTAGTGGTGAGAAATAAACAGAGAGAAAATATAGCTAGTGCTTGGTCCTAGCGGCTACTCGCACTTCTCGTGTTCCTAAGGCTTCCTAAGTGAACGGGCTATTACTTTAATTTGCCTTTGCCATGCCAGACTCGTGTCCCTTCTGTGGCAAGTAATAAATAGTTTACAATATGTTCAAGCTGCGGTGGCCTTGTGGTAATCAATATGCTCTCCACCCCTCCACGTTTCATATTCACATATATACATACTTCTACATGCAGCTGTCACGCCAAGCCGGAGCCTCATTTAAGAAGCCAACTTGGACAGCAGTTTATTATTTGTTTACCATGTGTTTTGTTTTTAAGTAAAGCTCCTCTTATTGCAGTCTGCTTTAAGGTGTTGCTAGGGGCATGCGCATTTTTGTATTACGCACAAATTTCATCAGTTAATAATACAGAATATTTTATTGCTTTAATAACTATTTTTTAATTTGTTTTTTACATTTTAATTTCAGACGATCCGCTCTTCTCGGAGATCGTGGCACAGGCTGAATATGCAATCGAGCAGGGTATTCTACCCGAGCGCATCTATCAGGGCAGCAGTGGCTCCTATTTTGTCAAAGATGCCTCAAATGTAAGTCGAGTTTGATTTAATAACAAAAACACAAGGAACGCCGAACAATAAATACCCTTGCAGACGAAAAGTTGCTCAAATGTTAGTAGCAATAGATCTAAAATAATTCTGTCTTAGTATAAAAACTTTTTGCTATTTATTTATATATTTTGTGTAAACATAGCGGTGAGAAATCCTATTATTTATTGCAAGTTATAGTTATAATTAATTGAATATTATTTAATACGTAACTCATCCACATCTGCAAGGGTATCAAATATCATGCGCTTCGCATAGTCCAAGGTGTTAAGTCTTAGCCTTGAGATTATATCATTAGACAGTGCATAGAGCAAAGATTCTAACAAACGGGGAAGTCTTGTAATTGAGTTATTTTTACATGACTTTTGGTTTGGCCTTGATACAAACCTATTTCATACATTTTAAATTGTTTAATTTTTATATTAACCTTTTAATTCGCATTAATTCCTAACTATTTTTATTTTGCTTTTTGTTTAGTCAAATTATTATTTAACTCTTGTAAATTTTCTAAATCTATCAAACCATTTTCTCTTTATGTACGTCCCACTTACAATTTAACTAAAATTGTTTCAATGAGAGCAATAAAAAAGAGAGCAAAATGTTTGCCCTTTGCCGATCCTCTGTAGAACTCTATAGAACTAAAAATGAGTTGAGAAATCATTCCATAAAAAATTTGAAGCTTTTGATAATAGCACTCATTATTGGGATTATACGTGTAAATAAAATGTTCAATTTAATTTGTCAAATAATAGCAGAGATGTCTGGCCGTCTTTAAGCCTAAAGATGAGGAGCCATATGGCAGACTAAATCCCAAATGGACAAAGTGGATGCACAAGCTTTGTTGTCCCTGTTGTTTCGGTCGTGCCTGTTTAATACCAAATCAAGGGTAAGAAAAAAGGCGCAGCAATATATTGTATAAATTTATTAATGATGTTCGAATCCACAGCTATTTGTCCGAGGCTGGCGCCAGTTTGGTTGATCGCAAGCTGAATCTAAACGTGGTGCCAAAGACGCGTGTAGTTCGACTGGTGGCCGAGAGTTTCAACTATGCGCGCATAGATCGGCAGAAGGCCAAGCTAAAGAAACGTATCAAGGAGCATTATCCGTCGGCACACTTCAACCGCATGAGCCTGCCGCTAAAGGTGAGTAGTAAACCTAGTTGATACGCTTTGGAAAATCACGGCTAATGCGATGCCTTCCATTCCGCAGACTGGCTCGTTTCAGCTTTTTGTAGAGGGCTATAAGGATGCCGACTTTTGGCTGCGTCGATTTGAACACGAGCAGCTGTCACCGGCACTGACCAAATCCTTTCAGCTACAATTTGAGCGTTTGGTTGTGCTCGACTACATCATACGGAACACGGATCGGGGCAATGACAACTGGCTAATTAAATATGTGGCGCCTAAACTAGTGGGCGAGGTAGGTGGTACTGGTGGCAAGAGCATGGCACGAGCCAATAAACTGGTGCCTGGCAAGACAATAATAGACCTTAACGAACCACCAATGCCGCTAGCCAATGATCCACAGCGCGTGGCTGCTGGTGGACAACCAGCGCCTACTTCCATGGGCGTTGGTGAGCCTGCGATTGGTGGGGCTAGCAGCTATTTTAGTAGTGATGATGAAGGACCTAGCACGAGTACCAGGAAGAACACAAATACTCCAACGGAGCCTACCTGGAATCTAGTGGAGGCACCACAAATTAGAATTGCCGCCATTGATAATGGTTTGGCGTTTCCCTTTAAGCATCCGGACTCCTGGCGCGCGTACCCGTATCACTGGGCTTGGCTACCACAGGCCAAAGTGCCTTTTAGCGATGACATCAAAGATCAGGTGCTGCCGCAGCTGTCCGACATGAACTTTGTGGAAGAAATCTGCACAGATCTGCTGTATTTATTCCAGCAAGATCGTGGATTTGACAAGCGACTCTTTGAGCGGCAAATGTCTGTTATGCGGGGACAGATTCTAAACCTCACGCAAGCACTGAGGGATGGAAAATCGCCCGTGCAATTAGTCCAAATGCCAGCTGTTGTTGTTGAGCGGTAAGTAAAAGTTCTGTTATAAAAACTATCAGATATTAATTGATGTGTCTCTCCATCTTTACAAAGGTCTAGTAGCAGTCGGTTTTCTTCTTTCACGCAGCGCTTCCAAAACAAGAGTCCTTTCTTTTCTTGGTGGTAGGTTTTTGACTAACTAATACAATTTTCAAATTTAAAAATAAAACTACTCTGTTTCAGTTAATTGGCCGACAACATTCTGAATTCCTGTGTTACCCACCAAATCTTTTGGACTGGTTCCGAAGTCATTTTCTGCTCATGCGATTTCTTGTTATGTGCTATATAGCCAAACGTTTTTAGTTGTAATCTCCTTCAATTTGGATTTTGTTAAATTTGTTAGTTTTGGAAAACTCGTTAAAATCAATTTCTATTTATTTACATTACATATATTTACATATTGTACATGTTTATAATTAAGCAACCGTTTGTATAGTCAATTGTTTAAATTGATAAAAATTGAATGAGCAGAAGTCAAAACAGTGTCCATTCCAAAATTCGTTACTCCAGCGCTTTCAATATATTTATACGTTAATTACTTATTTATACCTAAACATATCAGTGTGAATTGTTTACAAACAGCTTCAAATCATGTTGTCATTCGTACTGCTTAGAACAAGGACGCATTGAAATTATTTATTTCAGCCCCTTGCATTGTGAATATCATCAAAAACCACAATATCAATATCCTAAAGTTTATTTATCCATGATGTATTTACGTTAAGCATAATCTTTATAAACAAGTGTTACTATGTCAACTAGTGGAAAATCTATATAAAAAATAGAATTGAAATACAAATAATTTATATATACATATAAAATTAAATATGCACATATAAAAAATGTAATCAAATATAATGCCTTGTATTGTATACAAAATGAATGTGGGCGACGCCTTGTTTAAATATGAATTGCGTTGCCTCGGATGGGAACAATTGATATCGTTAATAAATTTGCAAATATAATTGTTGCTATCAGAATATATTAAGCCCGGAAATGCATTTGACTTAACATATACATTTCTGTGACATACATACTTTTTTTATTTGGTTCGAAAGTATAGATTAATTGGGTTCAGCGGATTTGCTGGTAGAAAATATCATATTTAACTATTAATTATTTGACAAATAAAATATATGGGTAAACATATAAAAAAAAGTACGACTTGTCTGATTGTTAATCCTGATTCAGAAGTATTTTATTTTAAATTATTCTGCCAATTCAAACCCAAATATATAAATTTAAAAAATTGTCTTTTTTTTAGCAATAAGAAAAATAATTTAACTGAACTTTAAATTCAAACATAAACAAAAACAAAACGACTAAAAATATCACTACTACAAAAATCTAAATAATTGAGAGCAAATCATTGGAAGCATCAGACATGAATCTGTCAACCGACTGATGCGCAGCGTCAGTGGAATCATCTTTGGCAGACTCTTCTCTAACAAGAGCGTCTAAGCTCTCCGAGTTCGTGATGCCACAGTTTTCAATTGGGCTTAATATCATATTTGTGCTTCTGTTTGCCATTGTCGGCGGCTTACGCTGGGGCGTCTCCAAAAACGTTGAAATGGAGGGCTGGTAGCTCTTGCTGAGCATACCGCCATATCCTTTATATCTAAACCAGTTGGTCGGCACAGTGGGGGTAACGCAGAGATCTCTTCCTAAAGGAACTGTGCTTATGACATTTTTTGGCTTCAGAAAACGTACGAAACGCTCCAGTTCTTTGTAGCTTGAATGTTCTGAATATTCCACTCCAATTACACTGATTCGCTTGCCATACGATGGCTTTGAGTTCTTCTCCCAACCGCTGGGTCGTATGCCAAGCAGCATATCATAGTGTCCCTCAAATTGCTTAAAGTACTGATCAAGTTGCTGTGAGCAGAATGCACATTAGATAAGATTCATTATCGTAAAGTAAACAAATTTCGTACCGGATAGCTAATCTTTCCCAAGTTGATTACATGCAGATTAGCCTCAAAGGGATCATCACACAGGCTAAGCTTTAACTCTGGCCAATCGAGACATTCGATTGCTTTGCGTCGATTAGGTTCCGTCCAGACCCTTAGCCTAAACTCCTCGACCAATGCCGACCACACCTTCTCCTTGCCAATCAAATAGGAGCCACAAACGTGCAATATACGCTTGCTGGCGTTCTTCTCATGGAATTGGCGCACCAAGGAACAAACTCTATAAATACTGTCGGACTGATGACAAAAGTCATAATTCTGCGAGAGATATGTGGTGTCCAGGTAGAGTACATCAATATTTGGCAGGTTCCAGAAAATTGGCAAAGACTCCATTTCAAAGCTGGCACGAAAGTCGCCAGTATGCAGGATACACTTGCCAGTGTTAAATTTGAAGATCAGCATTATAGCACCCGGACAGCTATATCATAATTGGAGTGAACGGTTAATCGATTAGATTAGCTTCATTGATAAACATTACTTACTGATTGGCATCTATAGCTGTGACTTCAATGTCATTGAGCGTAATGGATTGATCGACAGCGATTTCGTGGAGGTACTGACTGTCAATTGGAATGAACGTACGCACGAGGCTGGCTGTGATAGGGCTCATGTATAGTGGATGGGCAAACTTTCGGGTTAGGCCTATATAGTGATCGGCATGGTAGTGACTGAGAAAGTAATGTGTCGCGTTCGGAATATCGCCAAACTGGAAGCCATCGACGACGAATGTTGTATCCTCTACAATCTTATAAGGCGGGCAACGCTTGCGCTGTCGTGTTTTGGGCATATTTTCTTTCGAAGAAGCCTCAGTCTCTAAATTCCTCTGTATATTTAAACAAGGTATATTCACCATAGCTGGTGCTTCCGGCTGAACAGCCGCCAACACACTAAGCACCGCAGGTTTGTTATCAGATTCTGGTTCATCGTCGGAACAGAGATCAATGACGTCACCCGGGGATGTCGTGCATTTCGCCTTGGCATTGCGCTGCGGCTGTGTTCGCTTTCGTGTGGGTTTCCGGCTAAGCTGGATTTCCGATGAAATATCTGACATTTTGGACATACTTTCCGTCGTTGTCGACTTCTCATCGAACAATCGCTTGCATCCTTTACGTGGAGAACGGCGAAGTTTTGCTTTTCCAGGGGAGATTGTTGGGAAAGGCTCAACTTTATAGCTTTTTGTGCTACTCTTGAAAAACGCATCAATGCGCAGCTGGCCCGGTAGCGGCTCCTTTTTTCCATTTCGCTTAACCGCAGTGCTGCTAACAATAGCCTGAGCGTTTGTAATTTCATCTTTTGTCTTCTTCTTTGTTGTTGTTGCTGCGCGTACTTTTCGCGCCTTTTTATGTTTTTCTGGCGTATTGGTTTCCTCCGAAATGGATTTTGTAGTTGCTGCTACCTCATCGAAATTTGAAGTCTGTAACTCAGCCAAGTTTCTAAGGCGGATCGTACCAACATTTGTAGACATGCTTATGTCCTATAACCTGTTGGGGCTGCTCTTCTTGTGAAACCCCGATGATTTACTGATAAATACATTAGAGAAAATCATCGGAGGTCGTATAACTATCGATAAAATTGATGGTGCAATCGAAAATTACCATCGATTTAGCACTTTAACGGTCAAGCTATTTGAAAATTGAGCTGCTTATTGAATCTATAAAAATAATTATAATAATAAATAGCATACAATATTATATGTATTTTTTTTTTATATTTTGCACAGCTTTATGAACTAGGAATCCATTGCGGCAATTTCGGCTGATAACTTTTCCTCATCGACCTCTTCAACCACATCATCCATAATACGTTCCAATACAACGGCATCATATAATGAACAACCTAGAAATCCATATTTTCGCGAATATTGCTCAAGAATATCAGGCGGTTCATGCATGTTTTTAAGAATTGGAGCAGACATCTTCAAAAGTCTATGCCGTATGTAAATCGCCGCTTGTTTATTGAGATCATTATCGGATTCTTCCTTGGTGAGATGCATTTCAATTATGGCGGATATAGCACGGATTTGTGGTATGACGCAGCCACGTACCGCATACTTTCCCATCTTGCTCAGCCCAATGAGAGAGCCGTAAATCGTTGTTAAGGATGAACTTTGAAGACCAGCCTTATAAATACTGCAATTGAACTGGAATTGGAATCAATACGATCGTTGTCAAATTTAAAGAGACATACTTAATAACTCTTGGCATAATACTATTGTCGTCGCTGTCGAAAGTCTTCACAAGCTCGGCCATAATGTTGGCTGCGTATTCCCGCAGCGCCCAATGATTTTGAACTGCCGGAAAGGCACAAACCTGCCGTGACACGGTACATGAGAGCACCGCTGGTATGAAAAGATGTAGCTGGAAAATCCAATCATAAAAATGAAATATAACAATTGCTATTGGCACACTAGGAACTCACATAGTTCTGAAGCTTTACATTGGAATTGACGAGCAAACTGTGCACCATTCGCATTAAATATAACAGCAGGGCGAAGTTCTGTTGCACCACGTTTACTTTGACAGCCTCGCCGATGAACAGACTTAGCTTGGGCAGCATTGGTTGCAGCGACGAGTCGAAACTTAGTCGCTGTAGTGCGTCTCGACGTGTTGGCTCGGAGATGCCCATGCAAGTTTCTGTGATCAGTACAAAGAACTCTTGCTGTTCCTTCGATAAGGGAAACTTTTTGTTTCCCATCAGCAACACTTGCTCCCGCTTTAGCCAGTGCTTAGGAGCACTTGTTGGAGCCGTAAGGGCTCTCGCCTCTGGCGTCAATGAGCGTCCTCTTATTGAAGCTGTGTCCAGAGGCAGTTGATATTTTCGTTTTATTACTCGAGACGTCGACACGGTGTCCTCTTTATCTTCGGATTCCGGCCAGGTGTAATTCAGGTGTAGAAGGTCCAAATTAATATTATGCTCCTCCAATGCAAATAACAAGTGCTCCATTTTCACTTTTGAGGAACGCGTCCGTCGCGCATACTTCACGGCCTCAACAACTATTTTGCTAATGTCCTCGCGCACACTCTGTGCCACAGTGTGGATCATGTGCCCAGTCAACGTTTCTCCTATGTACACCTTGGATATATTCTGCAAGGATGTTCTAGAAAGCGTTGCAGTATATATACGTTTCCAGTCTTCGTTGATAGAATCCAGAATATATCCATAATAGTACTTCATTTTAAAACTTGATAGTAAGTAATTTAAACAAATTCTTAATAAAAGTGGCCTAAATTTAATTGTTTGTCTTGAGAAATTAGTACGTGCGTCAAACAGCTGATGGTTTTGACAGTTGGGTTTGGCTGTCAATGGACTTATTTTGTAGCAGATACCACTTTGATAGTTGAGAGATGCAAAAATTTGGTTCAAGTAGCAGACGCTGAAATATTAAATATGTACATAGTTATGCTTCTAATATTAACCTCGGATCAATTGCATTTGGATACTGTTATCACAACACAAAACCTTAACTTAAGTGGATTAAATCTGAAATCGTTTCCGGAAAACTTATAAATTTATTGCGTTTATTAAATATATATGTAAATAATAATTTGGTTTAACATGGGAAGAAGCATTCGAGCTTACGGGCTTGCTGTTAATATTAGGAAGAGATAATGCTAATGATAAGATATCCATAATCGGTAGACCACATAACCAAACAGCAGCATAACGACCAGCGCCTTCCACAGAATGTGCAGTCAAGAACGTAAATCCGTTAATGGTACATACATGACGCCCATTAGTCGCGTCATCTGTACTTTGCCATTGGCATCCTTGTCGTACTAAACATGTACAAAAATAAATCAATATTAAGCAATTAATTTTGTGAAACAATATATAACAACTGTATACACCTGCTGCATATACTGTGTTCCTCCCTCCGGGCCAACAGGAACTATTAAACGACCTCCGTTAGCTAGTTGATTTAATAATTCGGTAGGTGTATCTGGCGCAGCAGCGCCCACGTGAATAGCATCGTATGGCGCAAGAGCAGCATGTCCCCTGCGTCCATCTCCCTCAACGATAAGCATGTTTCCAGATTCCAGCATGCTGCTATCATCTGCGTTCAGATTGGTTTTGCTCATTTGCACCAAACTAGCCTGGTGCTCAATCCCAACAATGCGAGTGTTTTCATTTTCGCCCTTTGACTTTACGAAGCGATAGAAGCAGGCAGTTAGGTAGCCAGAGCCGGAGCCCACATCAAGTACATGAGCGCCAGGCTTTAGTTGATCGCGTAAATATTCCAAAGCAAAGGCGTGCTAAGTCGAAAAATCACAAGAGTTGAGTTCCCATCAAAATCATTTGGTATAAATGGGAATATCAGTCAAAATTACCATGTGAGGGGCACTAATAGTTACGCCACCGCCGATTGGCTGGGGTGCATCCATATACGGGTTACGGGGAGAGTAGTGCTTGCGATCTGTAGCTAACATTGCATTTGCCACTGCGTCTGTTGCAATTACGCCGTAATCTATTCAAAATATATTTATAAACACAGGTACATACAAATTTGCATACATTTAGAACAAGTCGATTAGGTGAACTTGTTGGATGCTTACCTCGTAGCTGACGTATAAGATCGGCATTGTTTGCACCCACTGAACGCCAGGCCATGCTATATGTGCGCAGGAATAGGCCCAGCCTGATTATATTAACAATATATGATTTTTTCACCGTTTTGTTCGCTTTTGTTTGGGCTTAATGGTCTGTGATGTTGTTGCTTTTGTTTTTGTTTGTAGCAGCCGAATGCATCTGGATGACAGTGTTACCAGCCTATAGCATTGTATGTTGTTTTTTTAAAAATACGCCTCGAAAGTTTTAACCTAGCATGTTAAGATACGTACACTTAAGATTTCGAAATAGATTTTTAGATTCTAAAATATATGAGTAAAACAACCATATTTACAGGCAAAATTGTATTGTTTCGAATGTAAGCCATTTGCATATCGATATTTATTTACGCGATATTCGCGAGCAACATCTCTAGAGAACTGATACAACTCTGGCAACGGATTGTCAAACGAGCGAAAACGAACAACAGTAGCAAATCGCGGCGCAGTTTTGCTGTAAAAAACGAAATTAGTTCTACAAAAAAATTTGCAATTCAGCTAAATCATTAACTATTTGTATACTTATAACAATAATTTGTAATTGTTCTCGCTGTTTAGTGGTAAAGTGAGGAAATCAATCCAGCTGTCGTGTGCTGCAGCTGCATGCAATAGCACTGCATTTTGCAGCTGCCTCCTTTTGTGTTGTTGTATTGAGTTGTGACATACGCACACCAACATCTCTTGGCTAGTTTGGTAAACGAGCGAGCGCGGCAAAAAAGTTTTCGATATTGCGTGAGTTTGTGTGCTGTGTGTTTGTGTGTGTGTGTGCGAGTATTAGTCATTTTGGCCTGGCCTGGTCGTTGGTCTTAGGCCTGGTCTTGGCAGTTGTTTGTTAACCCGCAACATTTGGAGCGCATCAACAACAATCAACAGAAACCGAAAACACATCTATAAAACTCGTCACGCCAAAATCAGCGAAAGGTTAGTTACCCGATTTTAATTGCGATTCTAGTGCTAATAAAAAACAGTTAAAAGCGTCTGCACAATTAGTAATTGCCATAAGCCTACCCATTTGGCTCCCTACTTTTCTCACTTGGCACCCTATTTACTTGATTAAACTGGCATCAAGGTCGCTTTGGCTGAATGTATTTAATTCAATATTTATCGTTTTCATTGTTGTAATGCGGTGTGTGCAATACGAGTTAAATACATATTTTACAACAATTGTTCATTGCATAATTCGCTTTGCCGTCTATTTGTTTTGTAGCTCTGTTTAAATAAATGATAAAACAATTGTCACATGCGTGTGTGTGGCGCATTTTGTTGTCCACTAGGATTTCGATTGTAGACATGTGTGTGCTCATTTTCTCTCCAGCAAACATTTCAGTTTCATTCTGTCGCTTTCGGAAGCAGCAGGTGTTGCATGTCTGTCTGTCTGTCTGTCCGTATGTCAGTATGTTCGTCCAGCTTCTGCGCTCACTTTCCAATTCACTGAGTTTACTCGATCGGCGTCAGTTGGCAGTCGCCTTGAGGCCATTCTGAGTCGGAGTCGGAGCGTGGCTCGTTGGTAGCTGGCATGATAAGTGCTCAAAGGGGGGAATGTTGTGTGTAATTATTAAGAAATACTTCTTGTGTTGCCTTTCGCTTGTGATAGCGCCTCTCTCCCGCAAAACAGGAAGCGGCTAATGTACATATCAGTAATTATTTTTCAAGAAATAATGAGTCTGGGCACAGTAAGCGTCTTTTGCAAGCTGAAGCTTTCTCCAATATTTGCTAGAATTTTAAATACATTTTAATACTTCGCACCCATGGCTAAAATGGATGCAAATGTGTGCAACAGACCGAAGGGACATTTTCGAACCCATAAAGTGTGTATATTCTTAGGCCGCTTCAACAAACGAGTCATGTTTCTGTGCATTTACGTTATGTTTACAAGATAGTTAAAAATGTTATATTTTGATTTATGCAGGGTGTATCCTAGTCGGTCACTCCCCACACTTGGGCAACACCTTTTACGAATTAAAATAATAGAAAATAATACCATAGATCACGACGATAAATTTAGGAATTTCGATAACAATATTTCCCGCTGCTAGTTTGAGTTAATTTAAGGGATTTTTTTTAGATCCCAGGGAACATTGCACCTCTGTAATCAACAACTATATACATACATATGTACATACATGAATACATATGCGAGCTATTAGCTTTAGTGTTCAACTTTGACCTAGATTGCGACAATAAGTGCCTTGCAACGCATGAATGCGAGCGCAGAATTCAGCTCTATGATGAATGCCCGTTTCGCTGTCCATGTGTACATATGTATGGTATGTACATACATATATACATACATACATACTTACATACATACATACATATATACTTACATACATACATACATACATACATATCACATAATTTTCACTTATAAGAACTAAACGTGCAATTTAGGCAAACATTGTTTGCCGTTCTCTTTATCTCTTTCATTCTAAACTACTCGACGTTGCATTCAAAACGATTTGCCAAAGAGAAAACAATAAAAATACGTGAGAGGAAGAACATGAATAGAAGAAGTACAAATCAACGAACCTTTAATACACTTCCATTCCTTAAAATATTTCATGCAATGTGATCAAGGTAGATTGTATATAGACAATATATAATATGCAATAATATTTAAAATATGTATCCTCATCTAAATGGAATCGAAAGTGCTTCATTTAATACGTTACACGTTAAATGACAATATTGAATTGAATATTCCGAGCAAGGGTATCAGAAAGTAGAAAACCTGTTCCTTCGATGTTTTTTACGTTTTTAGGTTTTGTATTTTGTGTTTGGCTTTTACTGCTTCCGACGAGTAAGTCACATCGATTATGCCATTTGCTTCGCACGCCTTCGCATAAAGATCTTGTATATGGATTTTTATTAGTATTTGTCTTCCATTCGTGCTGAGCTTCCCGCAGAAACACCATTGGCAACCCGAAAGAGAAAAGGTAGAGATTTGACAAGAGTGGAATTGTGTGACATTCGTGCACGTTTGAATGTTAACTATTTTTGTATTGCAAATATTTAAACATTTGCGCAAACTAAAAAATTTGCGTAAATTTGTTGCGAGTCGCATTTTAAATTGTGTTCATTTTGATATACACTCTTTAAATATTGATTTAGTTGGGGAATCAACAAAGATTATACATTAAATAAGAGTTTTTGATCTCTTAAAAATGCTTTCCATCTTTATAATGAAGAGACTTTAACCCCAGAGCCAAACAAAGCATTTCACTGCCCGAGTTGTGCTCAAAAAGTTGTTTCGATTCGAGTCAAATTTTTATGTAAATTGAATGAACTTTTCTCTCTTTGTAATTTCATTTGAATGTCACAAAAAAGACGTGTGCTTTGCTCTCTGTTGAAGCACGTTCCTGAAACTTAATTTTAATTAACGTATGTATCTTTGTAAATTTATGTGAATTCGAGTGGGCCAAAATATGTGGACTAAAGCTAAGAACCTGTTTTAAATTTTATGAAAACTTAAGCACATGGGGTTAAAAACGTTTACTGAAAATTACTAACAAAAAGTTGTGGGTAAATGTCTAAAGCATAAAAATGTATTTTAAAACTCGTTTTTTTACTTCCACAATAAATATACTTCCTTATACCATTTACATAGTCTCTATTAGCATTTAAATTTTTGCTTGGTATATTACAAATTTTAAACTAAAAAC